CAAAAGTATTTATGTGATTTATTTTTATTCTGTAACCAACTTGTCACTATTTATCTATTTATTTTGGGGATACTGACTGTTTAGTTATTATTAGCATAAAGCACCTGTTCTTCCATCAACTATGTCTTTACATATTTCCCTATTAGAAGACTATTTGAAGTAAAGCTTCCAATGCCTATAAGAGTCTTCCATTTAAGTGGGAGCTGTTATTGTAAATAAACATTATGGTCAAGAACATGGACTAGGAGGACCATGTACACAGACACATTGGGTACAAGTCTTAACTTCCCCTTTTTTATTCAAATAGAATTAACATATAGTGTTATATTAGTTGCAGGTATACAGTATGATTTAACAATTCTGTACATTTCTCAGTGCTCATCATGATAAGTAAACTCTTAATGTCTTCTATTTCACCGTCCCCCGTGCCACCCACCTCCACTCTGGCAACCACTGCTTTGTTCTCTGGATTTAAGAGTCTGGTTTGTTTGTTTCTTTGTCTCCTCTTTTCCTTTCTTTGTTCATTTATTTTGTTTATTAAATCCACATACGAGTAAGATCATATGGTATTTGTCTTTCTCTGACTTATTTCACTTAGCATTATACTAATTCCATCCTTGTCATTGCAAATGGCAAGATTTCATTCTTTTTTGTGGCTGAATATATTCCATTGTGTGTGTGTGTGTGTGTGTGTATATACACACTGCATCTTTTCTACCCATTCATCTACCGATGGACAGTTGGGTTGCTTCCATAATTTGGCTATTGTAGTGCTGCAATAAACATAGAGGTGCACATATTTTTTTTGTTATTTATTTTTTAAATTTTATTTTATTATGTTATGTTAGTCACCATACAGTACATATCTTTTTTAAATTGGTGCTTTCATTTTCTTTGGGTAAATACCCAGTAGTGGAATTACTGCACTCAATTGGTAATTCTTTTTTTTTATTTTTTGAGGAAATTCCATGTTGTTTCCCATAGTGGCTATGCCAGTTTGCATTCCTACCAATAGTGCATGAGGATTCCTTGTTCTCTACGACCTTGCCAACACTTGTTGTTTCTTGTGTTTTTTATTTTAGCCATTTTGAGACGTGTAAAGTGACATCTTGTTGTGGTTTTAACTTACATTTCCCTGTCAATTATTGATGAATAGCCAAACCAATCTTAAGAAAGAAAAACAAAGCTGGAGGTATCACAATCCCAGATTTCAAGATATACTACAAAGCTGTAGTAATCGAAACAATATATTACTGGCACAAAAATAGACACATAGATCATTGAAATAGAATAGAGAGTCCAGAAATAAATCCATGATTATATGGTCAGTGAATCCACAACAAAGGAAGCAAAAATATACAACAGAAAAAAGTCTCTTCAACAAATGATGTTGGAAAAACTGGACAGCTACATGCAAAAGAATGAAACTGGACCACTTCCTTACACCATACCCAAAAATAAACTCAAAATTGATTAAAGACCTAAGTTAGAGACCTGAAACCATACAATTCCTAGAAGGAAACATAGGCAGTCATTTCTTTGTCATCAGCCATAGAAACATTTTTCTAGATTTGTTTCCTTTGGGAAACAAAAGAAAAATTAAACTATTGGGACTACATCAAAATAAAAAGCTTTTGCACAGCGAAGGAAGCCATCAACAAAACAAAAAGGCAGCCTACTGAATGTGAAAAGATATTTGCAAATGTTATATACAAAAGGGGTTGATATCCAAAATATATAAAGAACTTATACAAATGAGCTCACAAAAACCACACAATAATCCAAATTAAAAAACAGCAGAGGACCTGAATGGACTTTTTCTAAAGAGGACATACAGATGGCAAACAGACACATAAAAGATGCACAACATCACTAGCTCCACTTTTAATGACCATGTGGCCATATTAGTTGGGGGCGTCTGAGTTACAAGTGGCAGAAAATTAACTCAATCTGCCCTGAACAGAGAAACCAAAGAGGAATTTATTGCATCATGCAAGTTAAAGGTTAAGCCAGGATTCAGGCACAGCTGGGCTAAGGGACTCAGATCAGGTTTTCATTTCTTCCTGCTCTCCTTTCTCTCATTCTTGACTCTTCATCCATATTGGCATGTGCTCACCTAACTGTCACACGTCCTGTGGTGTGAGAAAATTATGACCATTTCCCATGGCCCCCTTTCTTAAAGCTTTGGAGGGGAAGGCTCAAGAGAGAACTTTGAGTGGTTTAGTTGAATCACTAGCACACCCCTAGATCTGTTACTTTAGCAAGGAAGAATGAGGTACTCTGATTAGCCCACTGTGGCCAAAAGGGCAGATACATTGACTAAAAATCCCATCCAGAATCATCTGATATATGTGGCCATTGTTCTCTGTCATCCCATATTCTTATCCATAAATCGTGAAATCACCCGCCACCCCCATAGGGAGATCATGGTGATGAAATGGCATTTTGTTTGGAAAAGATATAAGACCTGAGCAATACATAATTATTAACATTTATTATAATAATAAAATAAAAATGAAGACTGTCATGTAGTAGAGACAGAAACAACCTTTTTTTGATCCATAACCATATCTTTTGCTTGTCTTGTTAACCCATCCCCATCTCCCCAAGGAAATAGCAAAACTAAAAGAGCAGGGACCCATGACTTTTAGTTCTCATGTTTCCATGACAACAACTATCACAGAGAAAGGAAAGAAACTAATATAGAGTAAGCACTATGCATTGTAGTAGAGACTTTGACATGGGATCTACTTAAACACACCAATTGCAGCAACTTGTTCAGAGCAGTCACTTGACAGCTGTTTGATTCAGTTCAGGGAATACAAATTGACTGATGTTATACATCTGGTGTAAAGTAACTTTTTAAAAGTGCAGTCCAAGAAAAAAACGGAAAACAGTGTATTGTATTAGAAGTAATAGAATGCTTTGATATTTCACATTTAGAAAAAAAACACTTTCATAAGCTTTCTTTAAGCCCTTTTGTAAGAACATTTTGTTCTAATAGAAAGCATAATCTGGGCCAGTTGGAAATTTGAATTCCAGAGTCTTATGTCTACCATTAATTACAGTTTCAAGGAGTACATTGCACTTAGGAATATACTAAGGCCTGGGCCTGGGGATTGATATTCCAAAAATCAATACAATTGAATAAAATAAGTTGGTTTGTTGAAATAGAAATTTTCAGACCGATCAAGTGAGATGGTGTGTATATACTTCCCAGACATATTTTGTCCTCATCTTTGAGAGTTACCTAAGCTTAGTCCATCAGCCCCTCTGACTTTTTTGCTGGGATTTCTTACACTCCTTTCTAATATTGGGGAATATTCTGTGCCTGGGGAGCCCAGAAAACAAAGGATATTTTCATACCCAAACAGCTCAGATGCAGCTGAATCCAAATCCAGGTATAACCCTAGTTCCAGCATCAGAGAGCAAGTCATGAATTCAGAAGTGAAGACTACCCTGGCAGATGCCAGCAGTGGTAAAGGCCACCTCGTGAGATTCCTTCCCCAGGGACTAACAGCAAGACAATTCTCCATGGAGGGTCAAGATAATGCACTAGGGGAAACGATAACCCACACCGCTTTTTCCTACGGCCCTAGTTTTTTCTTACAGCGACTTTATTATTTATTTGCATATCATACATTCCACCCATTTAAAGTATACCATTCAATGGATTTTCATAAATTCATAATGTTGTGCGAGGATCACCACAACCAATTTTATTTTTTAAAGATTTTATTTATTTGACAGAGAGAGACACAGTGAGAGAGGCAACACAATGGGAGGAGTGGGAGAGGGAGAAGCAGGCTTCCTGCCGAGCAGGGAGCCCGATGTGGGGCTCGATACCAGGACTCTGGGACCATGACCTGAGCCGAAGGCAGACACTTAACGACTGAGCCACCCAGGCGCCCCACCACAATCAATTTTAGATCATTACACCACCCATAAGAGAAAACCTATACCCTTTAGCAGTCACACCTAATCCCCTTAAGCTTGGGCAACCACAAATCTCCTTTCTATCTCTATAGATTTGTTATTGTCCTAATTTTGATACTTCCAAAAATATCTGCCATTTTTATATTACAGCTTTATTCCCACTACTTGGATTTAATAAATAACTAAGCAGACAGAATATATCATAATAACCACATGTATCAATTATGTGATATGGTTTAGGCGCTATGCTAAGTGTTTTTCATGTATTATCACAAGAGGACATCACCTCTCCCAGTACATAAGAGAGGTGCTTAGTAGTGTCTGGCATATGGTAAGCTCTATTGGCATTTCCTGGGCTGACTATTGTGCTCAGTATTCAGAACATTGCCCCCACCAGAAATCTAAGAGGAGACAGTTTAGCGTCACAGTTAAGAGCAGGGACATTGTGATTATGCTCCCGGGGTTGGAATCCTTGCCTTTTCAGTCTGTAGCTGTGTGAGTTTTGGCAAGTGGCTCAGTATCTCTGTCCTTCAATTTCTACATATATAAAATGAGGAGATGAGTAATTCCATGTCGTGGGGATTAAATGACATAATAAAGGAAAGCTCACGTATCAGTGACTGTCCCATAGTATGTATTCTATAAATAACAGTATATATATCACTATAATGCAGCATGTGAGTGATGATAGTCAAGAGCTAAGCAAGTGTGGAAAGAGATTTGAATTACTTATAGAGACCTACAAGGCTACAAGGCTGTGCCATTATGCCAATCCTTGAAGAATGGGTAGGATTTCCAGGCCAAAAAAGGGCAAAGAATATTGTAAACAGCAGGAAATGCTAGCTGAACAAAATAGTCTAGTATGGCTAGATCTGGTGTTTTAGGAAGAGAATGGTAGACACATATATTCTATTTCCTTAAACATAATTGGAGCTACAGTCCCTGCATTTAAAAACAACTTATGTTTTTAGAAGAGATATCTGGGTTTGGACATTTGACTTCTCTCTTGATACCTGGTAAATTGTTTACATATTTGAGTTCCTACCTTAAGATCTGAGAACACGATGCTCACCTCAGCAGCCCATATACTAAAATTGGAACGATACAGAGAAGATTAGCACAGTGTCTGTGCGGGAATGACATGCAAAATTGTGAAGCATTAGATATTTTAAATATTATAGGATCCTCTTGCAGAAAAAAATAAAAATAAAAATAAAAATAAAAGATCTGAGACCACGACTTAGTCATTTATATTTCCAGAGAAGTGCCTAACCGAGTGCTGGGAATATAGTCATTGTTCAATAAATATTTGTTGAGGGAGTAAGGGAATCAAATCAATGTATTCTCATTTCGAAGACTGTAAATAACAATATTCTGTGGTGGATTAGGGTTAGAAGGCAGTTCTAATCTTACCATGCATATTCTAGACACCGCATTTCAGTGGATGTTTAGAAAGAAAAACAGTGAAAGATTCCATGGTAATGAAAATTTCTGCCTGGATGATCTGATGTTTTAAGAACTATTAGCAGTTGAAACTCAATCAAAAATGAAAAACCCTTGGGGCGCCTGGGTGGCTCAGTTGGTTAAGCGACTGCCTTCGGCTCAGGTCATGATCCTGGAGTCCCAGGATCGAGTCCC